TATCAATTATGGTGCGAAAAGAAATACCAAAATAATTGTAAAAGATCTTAATAAGGATTATTTTGAAATACTAGACGACGAGTACAGTAATGTATTTCAAAAAGATCAAAAGATTTTGTGTGTGTTGATAAAAAAAAGATGAACGAACAATTGTTTCGGAATAGTTCATGTGGGAAATACCGCCAATTTGTCTTTTAAAAAAACTATATTTTGTTTGTTTAATGAACATTTTTTGAGTTTTTCCAGACGTCGTGAGTATTAGTGTGATGGGCTATCAATATAAAAAGCGAACTTAACGGTCTTTAAACTATAATCTTATAAAAAACACAACTTGTATATTATATATATTGTTTTATTCACTAATTTCAATTACTCTTATTGTTTTTTTTAAATGAAGATTGTCGTTGATATTTTAATACACTTGAAGATTTATTGAATGTTGTTGAATCATCTTGTAAGTAAAAGGATTTGCTTAGAAAATAAGCTGAAAAAGTTACAAACATCTTTAAAAATTGCGAAATTATGACCGGAAAAATTTAAACAAAGAATACGACTTAGATAGATCATATGATACATGTTGGAGGTCTCAGTAGAAGTCGAATTTGAATGTGATTGATTTATATTATGCAATATATACAGACAAAACCTTGATGATTAACTTGATAATTATATTACTGACATGTAGAAGGATCATAAATTTTGAGTATCGAAGGATATATGTGAAATTCCCATAAAATTAATCGAGATAAAGAAACATCACATGTACCAACAAGCCTATTTACTTATAAAGTTAATGTTGATTCTTCTCATAGGATCTGCAAGTGTATAAAAAGTTTTTTAAAATGAACATTGTAAAGAATAAGTTACGAAATATCACAGGTGACCAATTTTTAAACGATTAATCACTTATTTAGAAAGAGATGTTCTTTAAATTGATGATGAAGGAATCATGAAATGATTATAAGAATTAAAAATTCGTCGAAAATAATTTTAATTATTTTTAATATTGACAAAATTGTGTGCTTTTTGAATGGATTATTATTTTGGATTTTGAGTTATACAACTTTTTCTTCTTGATTAATAGGTTTACTAATTCGTGTTTGTTTCTTAAATGTTATTATGATTTAAGTATGTATCTCATATATATTCTCTTGTTAATTTTTACACTAAACATGATCTCTAGATAAATCTTGTTAAATGCATGCTCCCTGATTATTTTTCTATACTTAGAGATCATATTGGGTTTAATAGCTCGCTTCAATTTTTACTCTCCTTTCAAATCAACCCATACTCAAGGGATCACTTCGACATCATCTTAAGAGTCTTGATTTCATATTTGTTTCTAATTTTCAAGTATTTCTCTTACTACTATTTATTTTTTAGTTTATGGCTTTTGGGGTGTTTTATTATAAATTTTATAATTTTTTTGGTTTAATGAAAAATAAGTGTTCAAACAATACTTAAAATTAACTTTAGGTGCCTAAAGATTCTTCGTTCAAAATAGGTACCCAACGTACCGATGTACTCACGAAGGGGGACTAACAAGCAAGGTCTTTCAAGAAATTCTAAACAAGTTTGGGAATGGCAAATATTCACTCACCAGCTTGAGGGAAACTGTCATAATCAACCATGTAGAAGTCTCTTTTGTTTAGGAGTCTTTAAAGATAACAAGTTCCTAGAAGTCTTTATAATCTCAGACTCAAGATAAAATTTTATCTTTAGTAGAAAAGTCCTATTAGAAACTAGCAACTTAGTTTTTTTAAACTACTGTAATCTCCTAAATTCAATAATCAAATCTCTTTCATTACATCTTTTATTATTTCCCTCTTTTTCTATTTATTTATGTAGATTATAACATCACTATAGCAAAACTGTTCTATAGCGACATTTTTAGCGGCGTTTTGAGAGCAAACACCACTAAATTTAAACATATAGCAGCGTTTACATTCCAAACGACACAAAATGGTAACTTTAACGGTGTTTTTATTCAAAACGCCGCGAGAGAGTAGTACTTTAACAGCGTTTGTATAAAAACGCCGCAATATGTTTCATCCATAGTGGCGTTTTCAACAAACGCCGTAACATAATATTACTTTAGGCGATGTTTTATACAAATGCCACAATAGGTTCATCCATAGTGGCGTTTCTCAACAAACGCCGTGACAGAGTTTTACTTTAGCGGTGTTTGTATAAAAATGCCGTAATAGGGTTCATCTATAGTGTCATTTTATAACAAACGCTACAAAAACGCGTACTTTAGTGACGTTAATAGCGACATTTTTATAGTAAATGTTGTGATGACATTATACATTTCTAGTGTTTGTTATAAAAAAAATGTCGCAAAAACACGTGCAATAGTGGCTTTTTTAAAAAACGCCACCAAAGGATCAATATAACTCACCCTTTTCTCCTGCCTGATCCTTAAAATCATTTCAACTCTTCTTCCCTAAAAGTTTTTTCTCTTGTACAACAGTGGGCCTCTCACGATTCCAAGCGACGTCGTCTTTTGTCTCTCCCGACGACCAAATCGGGCTTCTTACCGGTGAACTATAACACGATTGCATGGTTTGATCACTTCTCTCACTACTGAACTTTTTCATTTTTGTAAATGTGGGTATTCTGAAAATAGGGAAAAGCCAGAAAGCTAACATATTTGAGAAAAATAATAGCTTTCAAATAGGAAAACCAATAAAATCCCGCTGTCATTTTCATTTCTGTCTCAAAAATCAATGTTCTTCTTAAACGTATAAGATTTGAGGCAACGTAAATGAACCATCCCTCAAGCCATGTGTCCAAAATTTGGTTGGATATATTCTAGGTGACTTATGTTAGCTTATTTTATAGTTTATTGGAGTTGTTTTTGATGTTTTATGGAAAGACTGGGGTAGGGCTCTTACCCTTTTGTTCCACAGTACTCTTTTTTATCCAAGTAGTTTGAGTTTGGGAACAAATGGTTGTGGTACAAAGAGCATTGTGTTCTTTTCCTTAGCTTTATTTCCATAATGTAGCTGACTGAAAGGTATTTGTTTGAATGCCAAAAAGAAACCAATGCTTGGACTAAGACTCAAGGTTATTATAAGGCTGATCTAACACTCACCAAATTAGTATAGCATAAGAAAAAACATCTATCTCTATGTGGAATTAAGGTTTACAAGTTAAGTTTTTACACCAGTGCATTTGGAGATAGTGTGAATTCTTATTACTTTGTGTGTTGGATCTATCCTGCACGTCTAGTGATATAGTTTTTCTAATTTTTGAAGGCCTATGAAGTAGTTTCTTGGTTCTGTTAATGCGTCAATTCCATGATATTTTGTTTGGTTTGGATTTGGTTTTTGTTGATTTTTAACTGCTATAGTTGTTGCAATTGAACTGTGTCTTTATATGCTTCATTTGCTTAAATGGACTTATGCATCATAGATAAAGGATTTACATCAAAATACATGCAATAAGTAACTCAATCACCCAAATGTATGGACAGAGTAAGAGAAATTGATTGTGGATTAAACTTCATAAAATTTAATCCACAATATCTAAGCAAAATCGTCGAAATGTCCACGTGGCGTATTTGCTCTGACATTGGATCAAATTATCGTTGGGAGGCTTCCGGTCCGTTCTTGCCATCGAAACCCGATGATAACCCGAAAGGAACTCCTATTGATCCATACCCTTCCATGGTCAATCTCTTACTTCAAGGTAATAATCTCTGAATCTTTTCGCCGCTATATTTTTATTTCGTACTCTCAAATTTCATAGATCGTGCGCAGGATGTTCGAAGCTTATTGAGAATGATAATAGAGGAATGGATAAATACCCGATGTTTAGATCCGGATTGGGGAAATCTATGGCATTGAAAGAATCTTCAATGGCAAAGGCAATATCTATCATCAATGAATACAACGCTACCTCTACTGTTACTCCAAGTAAACACTTCTATATTTTACTTTAATTTTTTTGTTTAATGCTTGATTATGTTCTCAAGCCACCACCAATCAATTTTCATATTGTAGGTGAAAGGTCGTTATCTGTTTCAAGTGAAGCATTGAAGCGTGCAAGGAGTCTTGTTGGTGAACCGGAGCTAGGGGGTTTATTTGGTGAAATGGATAAAAAGCTTCTCCATATATAGTTTACACGGAGGAAAAACTTAACGATGCTTCACCAAACAAGGAAAACTGTTTTTTACTTCCTTTCCCCACAAAGGAGCAATGAAGACTAAATTCTAGTGAATAATATTTTTTAATTGAAAGTGAAATAACCTAGACTAAATTCTAGAGAACAATGTCAAACTACATTATATTTAATTTTAATGTTTATAAATTTTAATTTATTTTGTTGTTAAACTTTATGGTTGTTATTTATATAACATGATATTAAATTTAAGTGATGTAGAGCAGAAATGAAATATGCAAAATATCAATTAATCTTAGCTAAAGAATGGTAATTAGCGGCGTTTGTATCCAAAAATGCCACTATTGATATGACCTTTTGCGGCGTTTGTTCCAAAAACGCCGCTATAGATCTCAACCTTTTTGTGACATTTGTATCGAAAACACCGCTATAGATCTGACCTTTTGCAGCGTTTGTTCCAAAAATGGCGCTATAGATCTCGACCTTTTGCATCGTTTGTTCCAAAAACGCCACTATAGATCAGACCTTTTGCGGCGTTTGTTCCAAAAATGCCGCTATAGATCTCGACCTTTTGCGGCATTTGTTCCAAAAATGCCGCTATATATCTTGACCTATTGAGACGTTTTTATTCCACAAACGTTGCTAACATTAGCGGCACTGGTATGGCTGGCGCTTCTTGCGGCATTTTTCCTATCACCGCGAGTGCTTTTAGCGGCGCTTAAAACGCCTCTAAAATTCTATTTTGATGTTGTGCATGTTTAAACAAAGTATTTGCTTTTTTTTCCTTTTTCTATCACACTACAAAAAGGTGTAACAAGGTTTACCTTATTGACCCCAAAGGGAGATACGTTACTCGTGGCACATAACAAACAATGAAACAAGATCCAACAACCACTCTTGGGTTTCAAATAATTTCTTATGCTCTTCATCTTTCCATTCTTTATTTGCATTATCATGGTTTCGTATTTCCCTGATTATGGGCAAGAATAATTTTTTAATCATTCTAAACCCCCAAAAAAAGTTACAATAAGTAGGAAGTTCTAAACTCATACTTGATTAGGTCATCTTGTGCACTATATGTTGAAACATTTTAATATTTCGATATAACAAATTAAGGTTAAATGGATTTTAAGATTTTCCAAATGATTTTCTAAGTATATTCGATATAACTATTCGAATATCAAAACATTACTCCAAATATTTCAAAAATTATTTTTAATCCTTACTTAAGTGTAAAATTAAGTTTTAATCATAAAACAATTTCAAAATAATTTTACAAAGTATTTCGAACCAATTCAAAGCCAAAAATTCCAGATTGCTCAGAGGGAACCGATTCCCCCCATAGGAGGAACCGATTCCCCCCTGAATGGTTTGGCTCCGAGATTTCCAGAATGCTCGGAGGGAACCGATTCCCCCCTGTTCAACGGTCGAAATATTTGAATTTTACACTTAGGGAACCGATTCCCTATGAGAGGGAACCGATTCCCCCCACGCTCCAAGCTGTTTTATTAAATGTTTTCACACTAAAACGGCTATAATATCTTCTCTAATTATCCCCAACGTTCAGAAGTGATCCAAGGTGTATTTAAGCAAGCTTAGAAGCCATTGATCAACAACAAGAAACATCAAGCAACTAGAATCAAGAGAGAATCAAAGAGAAAGCATCAAACCTCAAGTTTGAGCATTTCAAGCCTATTTTCATTCAATATTCATTTTGCTTTCAAGAACACTTTTTGTGCTCAATTGTATTCATCTTTGAGTGTTCTTTTCTTTGTTCTAGAATTGTGCAAACATCTTACCTTGTGAGGTTTTCTTGTAAGTTTGCAAATTTGTAATCTTCTCTTTGAGAAAAGAGTGTTCTCAAGAGTTGGGGTATACTCTTGAGGGAATTGTAAGGTTATCTCTTTGGCCTCAAAAGAAAGAACAAATTAGTGAATTTGTTGGAAAATCCTTAGTGTGGATAGCTAAGGTAGTGGACGTAGACTTTGTTTGAGAAAGTCGAACCACTGTAAATCGCTGTGCAATTACTTTCAATTTTCTGTAAAAGCTTCCACAAAATTTTTATTGCCAATTCACCCCCCTCTTGGCCAATTTCGTCATTCGATTAACTCAACAATTGGTATCAGAGCCTAACTCATTTGAAGGTTTTATCGCCTCTTGAGTCAATTCGGGAAGAGTTATATCGATTATTAAAGTCATCAATGGCCTCCGCTTCAAACTTCGACTCCGGTCTCGATTCGATGCCCGTCAACAAACCTCCTTTCTTCAATGGAGCTAACTACGCCTATTGGAAGAATAAAATGATGTACTTCATTCAAGCAAGTGACATGGGAGCATGGAATGCTGTAGAAGAAGGATACATTAAGCCTATCACTCATCCAAGGTTGTGGAGTGAAGGAGATACAAAAATGTTCCAGCTCAACTCCAAAGCCATCCATATTATCTTTTGTGCTCTTGGACCAGATGAATACGGAAGAGTTTCATCGTGTACAACCGCCAAAGAAATATGGGACAAGCTTCAAGTCACACATGAAGGTACCGATGAGGTAAAGAAATCAAAAATTAGTATTCTAACGCATAGCTATGAAAATTTCAGGATGAAACCAAATGAAGACATCAAAGCTATGACGGATAGATTTTCAACGATTGTCAATGGTCTCAAATCATATGGAGAGATCATCTCAAATGAAAAGCTTGTGAGGAAGTTAGTCTACTCCCTCCCAAAATCATGGCAATCAAAGAAGACGGCAATCATCGAGTCTAAGGACCTATCGTCCTTAACTCTTGAAGAACTTATCGGTTCACTCCTCACTCATGAGATGATGCTTGAAGATGAGGTGGACCTTGATAAAGTTGAAGAGACACCAAAGGAGAAGGAGAAGAAGAAAAATATTGGAGTTGCTCTCAAATCCACAAAAGATGAGAGTGATTCTAATGATGATGATGATGACGAGGAAATGGCATTGTTTGCCAAACGGTTCAGAAAAATGATGAGACCTTACCAAGGAAGAAAATTCAAACAAAACGAAGGCCTCAAAAATGAACCAAAAGAGAAGGACCCAATCATTTGCTATGAATGCAAAAAGCCGGGGCATGTCAAATATGATTGCCCACAATTGAAGAAAAAGGGTCAATCAAAGAATAAGCACAAGGCTCATGTGGCTACATGGAGCGATGAAGAAGGTTCCGATGAAGAGGAACAAGAAGTAGCAAACTTGTGCTTGATGGCATTCGGGGAAGATTCTAAGGTAACCTCTAACTCATCCGATTTTGATGATTTATCTTATGATGAGTTATTTGAGGAGTACAATGGGTTGGCTTCGGATTATGAGAAATTGTTTTTAAAATATAAAAATGATGTTTCAAAATTGAAAAATGAAAACAAACTCATATCCAAAACCAACAACGATCTTGAAAGTAAAATCAAAAATTTGCAAATCAAACTAGAAGAGTTTGAAAAGAAAAATTTAGATTTGCAAAATTTACTTTCAAAGATCAATGATGATCATCAAAAGAAAATTGATGATCTTAAAACTTCTTTTGATAAAGTTGAAACAAAACATTTTGAAAAAGGTGGAAATTCAAAATCCAACTTTGTTAGAAAAAGTTTTAGAAACTACAATCATAGAGGTCCCCAAAGAACCTCTAATGGAAAAATCATTAGAAGTGTGTGGGTTCCTAAAGAACTCATTACTACTAAAGATAAAAATATCCTACACAAATGGATACCTAAGGGGACTAGGATTTTGGAAACTAATGAATATGGACCCAAAAGAATTTGGGTACCAAAAATCAAAAATTAATCTATGTTTGTAGGGAAAGGAGCATTGCTACAAGGCACGGGAAACAAATTCAAACTCATGGTACCTTGATAGTGGATGCTCAAGACACATGACCGGAGACAAAAGCCGGTTCATAGAGCTTAACGTCAAAAATGGAGGAGAAGTGACTTTTGGTGATAATTCAAAAGGTCACATTGAAGGTATTGGTACAATAGGTAATACCTCTTCCATACAAATTAAAAATGTTTTATATATGAATGGATTAAAGCATAATCTATTGAGTATTAGTCAATTATGCGATAAGGGATTCAATGTCTTGTTTGAAATTAATGGTTGTAAAGTTATTGACATTGCATCTAATCGGATTATGCTTGTTGGTCATAGAATAGGAAACATTTATATGGTGCATTTAGATTATATTGATATGACTAATTTATGCCTAGTTGCTAAGGATGAGCATGATAGTTGGTTATGGCATAGGAGACTAGGTCATGCTAGTATGAGTGTTTTGCAACGGTTAATTCAAGGAGACTTAGTAAGAGGGTTGCCTAAGCTTAAATTTGATAATGATAAAATCTGTGATGCTTGTGCTAAAGGAAAACAAAAACGAGTTTCTTTTAAATCTATTAATGATGTATCAACTAGTAGAGTATTACAATTGATCCATTTAGATCTTTTTGGGCCAACTAGAACTACTAGCTTGGGAGGAAAACAATATGCATTTGTCTTGGTAGATGACTATTCTAGATACACTTGGGTTCTATTCTTAAGTACTAAAGATGAAGCATTAGAAAATTTTATCACATTTTCAAAAATAATCCAAAATGAAAAAGGTTACTCTATCACTAGTGTTAGAAGTGATCATGGAACTGAATTTGAAAATCTTGGATTTATTGAGTTTTGTAATTCTAATGGTATTAGCCACAATTTTTCAGCACCTAGAACCCCTCAACAAAATGGAGTTGTTGCGAGGAAAAATCGAACTTTAGAAGAAATGGCTAGAACCATGCTTTGTGAAAATAATTTGCCAAAATATTTTTGGGCGGAAGCCACAAATACCGCTTGTTATGTTGTAAATCGAGTAATGATTAGGCCAATTTTAAAGAAAACTCCATATGAAATTCTCAAAAATAAAAAGCCTAACATTAGCTATTTTCATCCTTTTGGATGTAAATGTTTTGTTTTAAACAATGGTAAAGAAAATCTTGGTAAATTTGATGCTAAAAGTGATGAAGGAATTTTTCTGGGTTATTCCTTAAATTCTAAAGCTTATCGTGTATTTAATAAAAGAACTTTAGTTGTAGAAGAGTCTATACATGTTGTTTTCGATGATAATCCCCTTCCGAGGAAGGATTCTTCTGTTAATGATGATGTAGGTATTGTACAAGCAAATGACGTTAGACATGACGTTGGAGAATCATCATCAAAGGAAGAAACAAAAGATGAGGAAACTCATGATCCCCTCGAGAATCCAACCATTGAAGAAAGGGAAATATCTTTTCCAAGAGAGTACAACTATGTCAAGGATGGTGAAATTATAGGTGATCCATCAAAAGGGGTAACTACTCGATCTTCTCTTAGAAATATCTGTAATTATGTTGCATTTATTTCATGCATAGAGCCTAAGAACATCAAAGAAGCATTAAAAGATGAACATTGGATTATGGCTATGCAAGAAGAATTAAATCAATTTGAGAGAAGTAAAGTATGGACATTAGTTGAAAGGCCTAGTAATAAATCTACTGTAGGTACTAGATGGGTTTTTAGAAATAAACTTGATGAAAGTGGTAATATAGTGAGGAACAAGGCTAGACTTGTTGCTCAAGGCTATACTCAAGAAGAAGGCATAGACTATGATGAAACATACGCTCCCGTAGCTAGGATGGAAGCAATTAGAATGTTATTAGCATTTGCATGTTTCAATGAATTTAAATTATATCAAATGGATGTTAAAAGTGCATTTTTAAATGGTTTTATAAAAGAAGAAGTGTACGTGGAACAACCTCCAGGTTTTGAAGATTCAAATTTTCCGGATCATGTTTTAAAATTGACAAAAGCTCTTTATGGTTTAAAACAAGCTCCTAGAGCTTGGTATGAAAGATTGTCAAATTTTTTAATTGAAAAAGATTTTTTTAAAAGGAAAGGTTGACACTACATTGTTTTTAAAGAGAAAAGGTAAAGATTTATTAGTAGTTCAAATTTATGTTGATGATATAATATTTGGTTCTACTAATGATGTTCTTTGCCAAGAATTTTCTAAGCTAATGCAAAGTGAGTTTGAGATGAGCATGATGGGGGAGCTCTCATTTTTCTTGGGACTCCAAATCAAGCAAAGAAAAGATGGCATCTTCATTAATCAAGCTAAGTACGTCAAAGATATGCTCAAGAAGTTTGGACTGGAAAATGGGAAACCTCATAACACTCCAATGAGCTCTTCAACAAAGCTTGACTTAGATGAAGGAGGTAAATGTGTAGATGTTAAATTATATAGGTCAATGATTGGCTCTTTGCTTTATCTTACTGCAAGTAGACCGGAAATTATGTTTAGTGTTTGCTTATGTGCTAGATTTCAATCATGTCCTAAGGAATCACATTTACTAGCTGTTAAGAGAATCTTTAGATACCTTAAGGACACTCCTAGTTTAGGACTTTGGTATCCTAGAGACTCTAGCTTTAGCTTGCATGCCTTTTCTGATGCGGATTATGGAGGATGCAAATTAGATAGGAAAAGCACCTCCGGTACTTGTCAATTCCTTGGAAATATGTTGATTTCTTGGTTTTCAAAGAAACAAAATTGTGTTGCATTATCCACAACTGAAGCGGAATACATTTCAGCCGGTAGTTGCTGTGCACAAGTTTTATGGATGAAACAACAACTTTTATATTATGGAATTGAAGTAGGTACCATTCCTATCAAGTGTGACAATACTAGTGCTATTTGTCTCACTAAAACTCCCATCCAACACTCTAGAACTAAGCACATTGAAATAAGACATCACTTCATTAGAGACCATGTCACTAAGGAAGATGTAGTTCTAGAATTTGTTGATACTTTGCACCAATTAGCGGATATCTTTACAAAACCCTTAGACAAGGAAAGATTTTGGACACTTAGGAGAGAATTAGGTTTGACCAACCTATCTTCACTTAGTGTTTAAAAATAATTTTAGCACTTTTAATAAATCTTGAAAAAATGCTTATAATAATAATTTTTGATTGCATTCTTGCTATTAGTTAGGGGGAGTTTGTGATTCTTAGTGAAAATTAATTTTATGTTCAAAAATCGATTAAAGATTAATTTAATTGTTTGAACATAATTAATTTTTGATATATGAGTTGCCAATACCACTAGAAAAGATTAATTTAGCATTTTGTGCTTAAAAAATCGAATTTTAGCATTTTGGTGCAGAGGGAATCGATCCCCCTTGAGGGAACCGATTCCCCCTTTGAAGGGGAACCGATTCCCCCCCACAGGGGAATCGATACCCCCCTGGGGTTCTGTTAAAATCGACAGAACACCCCCAAAATCCCAAACCCTCATTTTCCTCTCTCTTCCGCCGCTCTTCACCTTCTACACCCTCAAATCTCCATTTTTGTCTCAAATCGACGATATTAATCGGAATTTACTTCATATATCATCTTCTAAACCTGTTGAAATCATTAAAGTCGTGCAAACAACATCTAAATCCCCTCAATCTTCATCTTTCAAGGTAATTTTTCTAAACTCTTTATTTCATTATTTTTGAACATAGGATTAGTTTTAATTAGTTCTAGGTTGAAATAGTGATCGGGCATTGATTATTTAGTGATTAGAAACTAGATGTTACAACTAATTTCATCAAAAACACAAGAATTTTTCAATTTTTTTTTAATTTTCGAAATAAAAAAAAATGTTATTTTTCAAATTATTGTGTTTTGATTAAATTATGTTGTTATTATGAAAACTATACATATATTGTTTCTCAAAACCATATTTTTCAAAAGTTTCTCAAAAACTTTGCCCATTAGGATTGATTTAGAGAACCTTGAAATATTGAGGACTCAATTGAGTTTTGAGATTAATTGAGTTGCATACATTTGTTTTAAAATTGCAGGTTATTCTATCTATTCCGATTTCCTTCACCATGTCAAATCCTAAACGTCCTAGGTCTTCATCTAGTCGTTCTAGTCGTCAACCAAATCCACCTCCAAATCCTCCTTCTATTCCAATTTCTAATCCCAATCCCACTGATCCTAACTTGACTATTCAAAATTCGTGTTTTAATCATCCTGGGTCTAGAAATCACCGATTTTGGTATTATCAATATTTCGATTCTTACAAAATCCGGGAAGAACGTATTCCTTCTCGTCAAGCTATGTTAGCTATCAATTTTAAATATCTTCCCATTTTACAAGTATGGAAATTTGATAAACTATTTGATCTTGAACCCATCGTTTACCATCAACTTGTTCGTATATTCTACTCTAATACCGTATGTGTTAAAAACCAAGCTGAAACCGAAACCATAGGAATTCGTTCCTACCTCCTAGGATAATTCTTATATATTGACCCGGCATATATAGCCAATACATTTGGATTAGATAATGATGGTATTTCGAATGAAAAACAAATTTTAGGTTTTCGTTATAAAAGAAGAGATAGTGCGAGTGTCTTAGACCTACATGAGCGTTTTCTTCATCTAATGATTTCTTGGTGGTTTCGACCATCCGGAGGTCGTTATTCTACTCTTAGAGCTTTGGATCTTTGGTGGTTACATTATTTCGAAAACCGTATTAAAATTAACCTACCTCAGATTATTTTTGCTGAAATTGTTGAAACCGTAAATCTTGTTCCTAACAAGAAACACTGTTCATCTCTAGTTTACGGTTGCTTTTTGAGTAATCTGTTTTCCAAAGCTGGGCTTAGAGTCGGTCTAGATGCCGTTTTTCCTCTTAAGAAACAAATAAATCTTCTTTCCTTAACGAGAGCGGGATGGGTAAAGGACAAAGAAACCGGTGAATGGGTTCGATCTTCTACTCCGGGAGCTAGTTCTTCACAAGCTCCACCCGAAGCTGACGAAGATCCCGAGCTTGAGCAATTAATGCAAGATATCGATGAAGCCGAAGATGAGCCTGATCAGCCCGAAGAGCAGCCCGAGGAGCAAGCACAACAAACGCATCAAATGCCTCCATATTTTCAATCCTTTATGGAGACATTCGATTTCCGATACGCTACCATGGACTCACGCTTTTCCTCTATGGAGTCTCATTTATCCACAATGGGAGCTCAACAATTAGAGATTCTTCGGGAGATGCGTGCAAACAATGAATCAACCAACGCTCGTATCAATGAACTCACACACGAGATGGCCGCTATGCGAGCCCGTTTTCCTCCTACCGATCCGGATGCTTAATTTTATGTTTATCTTTAAAACTTTGAACAAAATGAATATTGTTTCAACATTTTGAATTATTTGATTTTGTGGATTGTTGGATTTTGGATTTATGAATGGTGTGAACTTATATGTTTGGTGTTTTATTCATTTTTGCATCATTTACATTATCATTAGCAATATGACCAATTTTGCCATATCACATTATTTATGAATATTGATTTATGAAACTAATGGCTAATCTCTCTTTTGATTGTGATCTTAGCAGCTAAAGCTTATAATTAATAAATCAATTGGCTAAATAATTTCAAAACCTTGTTTTACAATGTCTTTTTGATTTAACAAAAAGGGGGAGAAGAAAAGGTGTTAAATGTTTTTACATAACAAATTGAAGAAGTGTTAAAGTAAGGGGGAGTAAATTTCAAAACTTGATTTCAAAAATCTTAAAATTACGAAAATGTTTTGTTATATCAAAAAGGGGGAGATTGTTGAAACATTTTAATATTTCGATATAACAAATTAAGGTTAAATGGATTTTAAGATTTTCCAAATGATTTTCTAAGTATATTCGATATAACTATTCGAATATCAAAACATTACTCCAAATATTTCAAAAATTATTTTTAATCCTTACTTAAGTGTAAAATTAAGTTTTAATCATAAAACAATTTCAAAATAATTTTACAAAGTATTTCGAACCAATTCAAAGCCAAAAATTCCAGATTGCTCAGAGGGAACCGATTCCCCCCATAGGAGGAACCGATTCCCCCTTGAATGGTTTGGCTCCGAGATTTCCAGAATGCTCGGAGGGAACCGATTCCCCCCTGTTCAACGGTCGAAATATTTGAATTTTACACTTAGGGAACCGATTCCCTATGAGAGGGAACCGATTCCCCCCACGCTCCAAGCTGTTTTATTAAATGTTTTCACACTAAAACGGCTATAATATCTTCTCTAATTATCCCCAACGTTCAGAAGTGATCCAAGGTGTATTTAAGCAAGCTTAGAAGCCATTGATCAACAACAAGAAACATCAAGCAACTAGAATCAAGAGAGAATCAAAGAGAAAGCATCAAACCTCAAGTTTGAGCATTTCAAGCCTATTTTCATTCAATATTCATTTTGCTTTCAAGAACACTTTTTGTGCTCAATTGTATTCATCTTTGAGTGTTCTTTTCTTTGTTCTAGAATTGTGCAAACATCTTACCTTGTGAGGTTTTCTTGTAAGTTTGCAAATTTGTAATCTTCTCTTTGAGAAAAGAGTGTTCTCAAGAGTTGGGGTATACTCTTGAGGGAATTGTAAGGTTATCTCTTTGGCCTCAAAAGAAAGAACAAATTAGTGAATTTGTTGGAAAATCCTTAGTGTGGATAGCTAAGGTAGTGGACGTAGACTTTGTTTGAGAAAGTCGAACCACTGTAAATCGCTGTGCAATTACTTTCAATTTTCTGCAAAAGCTTCCACAAAATTTTTATTGCCAATTCACCCCCCTCTTGGCCAATTTCGTCATTCGATTAACTCAACACTATACATTTCATCAAGAACTTTGATCATAGGAGTTATTAGAACTCCAAGTCCTGTACCACAGGCTCCTTGATCTTCTCCATTACTAAGATGCATTTCAGATAACTGAGACTACACACCAACCTGTGCTAATGCGTGTAAAAATTCATATATTTGTACCCTGAATGGCTCACCAGACCGGATTGCTACCGTTGTAAGAGCTCGAGCAGCAATAATGCGAACCTAATATGTTCATACAAAATAAGAAGAATACAGAAATACATAAATTAGAGCAACATCACTCTAGAACGTTGAAATTTGAAATAAATTTGAACATGATAATGTATAGCACACATAGGCCATTGCCAACAAACACTAAGAACATATCCAAGGATCATATCGAACAAAAATAATGCTCACATCAATCAACAAAACTACAGCAAAGTTAATATACTAGAAACAATTATTTACAATGAATACATGTGCATGTGTTTAGCAGTTCAAGGGTATTCCATTTATTCAAATATTAATGGAATCGGCTTAACCAAATAGTTTTACTGCCACATGCCTAGAAATTCTATTTTCTACAGCATTTTTTCCAACAATAAAATGAAAATCATTCTTTCAACAGCAAATAGATTTGCTGCATACTGATATGAGCAGGACATATTTTGGACCTATATCAGACCTGTCCAACACAGCTGGATGCCCTCCAAATATAGAGAAAAATATAGAAATATTTGGACATACCCGTCTTCAGTTCATCAAATCATAATCATAAGGAAAAGCGCCATTAACATTGAAGATTGAGGCAGAAACATGCTGAGCTTTAAAAATGAACACATGCCACTCTAGTGCATGTTAAAGCATCTAACAGAAACAAGAAAAATGATCAGACAGATATCATACAAGTTAGTGTCCTGCATGACAAAGAAACTAATCGAGGGACTGATATATTTAAAGTTTTATTTCTGTTAGGGTTTAATTGCTAATTTTATGGTTGAGGGTTATATTTGTATATTACCTTTCTAATGTGTTCTAGAAACTTAAGTATTTCTATTTCTACTTCAGACCACATATTTGTTCAAGTTCTATGTAAATAAGAGTAATTCTTTAAGATTAGGGGAGCAAGAAAATCTGTAACCATTGCTTGGATCCATTGACGGTGGTAAATCATAAGCATGTATTACACTCGTATTACAAATGAGCTGCAGTGCAATGTGCAACATTATAGAAAACCGTAAGCCTTGTTTGGATAAAGAGAAGGGAAAGTGTAGAAACGAGCTCCATAACTGGTACATTAGGATATATTTTTCCTAAGAAATAGGAACAGTCGTTAGCTGTTTCCTATTTAGTTACTTTTCTACTTTGTAGAATCGAGCTCCATAACTGATACATTAGGATTTATTTTTCCTAAGAAATAGGAACAGTCATTAACTGCTTCCTATTTACTAGCATATGCTCCCTAAACCGTGACGGTTTGTTACCTTCCAAAGCTAATTACACACCTAAGTTAATGTCAATGAAAAGGAGCACAGAGTAGCATATGTTTACAGGAAATAAAGACTCAATCACAGAAGAAACACATCAATTGAAACTCATACCTCCCAGCTACCACTGAAAGCACACCTCTGGAGTCGAGTCAATACACCTACTAGAGTGGGCTTACGGGAGCTGGCAGCAGCAACCATTTTATCCGCATCTAACATCATCGATGCAGTACCAGGAGGCGTAGCAGACTCCCAAGCATATTCTGAAGCAGCATAGGTAGCATTTTCCCCACACCTAACAGCAGCTCACTTTAGCATAAAAATGACTCAAAATGCAAATTTAATTTAACAGAAAAGATTCTTACAGCTGCTTGGACCAATCTCTGTAACGCTAGAGCTGACTTTGGATCAGATGCAGATACCCTGTCTACTGATGTAAATCCAGACATTGGTCCAGGCTGTGGGGGCGGAAGGTCTAGAACAATAGTGACTGCTTCCAATGCTGTGTGTTTCCCATCAGGACCAGCTCCAACAAGACAAGTCTAATAACATAACAACGACTTAATCAGTATGTTCGGAGATGACAACTCAATCTGTCACATGCATTTCACAAGTCTACTCTGAGTGGTTGGTATGTAAATTTTTTGAAATTCTAACTAATAGACGCTTCTTCCTGATACAAAATTATGGTAGTCATATATAGTGTAAACTGATGTATATGTGGAAAGCTGCCGTGGTTTAAAAAACTATTAGAAACGGAGTTTTTGTTCATCTTAAACTGAGTTCTAATTTACTTGGGATTAGGTTTTATCTTTTCAGAAGATAAGTTTTCTTATGAGATAAAGGTTAAGGAAAAGATGCCTAGTTAAATTCTACTTCTGATATTCTCTGCCTAAAAAAGCAGGCTGGTTTTTTACTTTTCAAGTAAGAAATAAGTACAGAACTTAAGAATGAACAGGTAACGAGGTTGAAAACTCATTTAAATAAATACTAATTGTAATTCCAATGTTAAGCAAAAGTGACCTACAAGCACACAAGCAAGTGCATAAAAGACAAAAACTTGAATGTGCAAGGATAGGAGAAACTAAAAGTGGAAATGCAAATAATAATACGCGCGTAGAGTACTATAAATGCACTTCTGGTAAAGTTTGGCCCCAATATTATTTTTGTCCCAACAATTCGAAAAGTCACATTTATGTCCTGAAACCTGGAATTTGTACAAAAGCACTCCATCCATTAACCTAGCAAGTAACTCTTTCATGCCAACTAGAACTTACAGCCCAGCAATAGGTATTACCAATCGACAAGTTAACAGATTATACAACTATTAGATTGATGATATTAATTTCGTCAATTCAAATTTGAGCACAAAAATTGGGACATTTTAAATGATTATGACGAATATGTTATTTGAGTAAGTTCTAGTTATAACATGAGCAATTTACAGTCCAAAAGGTAAAGGCAGATAAAACAACAGGTACACAATCTATTATCAAGAAGAAGGAAAGGAAACTTACTTTCCAAAGAAGTTGTAAAACATCAGCATCGATCTTCCCTGGAACTTCAGCAGCAAAGATCCTTGCAAGTTCAAGAAGAGTGACAGCCATATCTGGTGTAGGCTGGTAAACCAAAGAATTAAAACATTATATGTACATGTTGAAATTATTTCTGCTTCAGCATTAGTACCGAATCTATATAACCTCCAAGTTTTAGGGACACGGACAGAGCACTGCATACAAACAAATAAACTTGTTTTTTTTATTATCGGATTATATAACAGGTAACCCTTTGCCAACATTCATTCACCTCAAGCCAATGTTCAGACTCTAAACTAGGTAGGACCTATAATGCTTTCAAGGGAGGTACCACCCCAAGACAATGCCGCGTAATTCCAATTACAGTCCACAAGGTCCAACCAGATTACCTAATGCTAAAGAAATATTGAAAGCTTTACTTTTGAAACGGTTTAAGCATGTGTTGATCCTTGTAGTTACAAATTTATGAATTTTGGTCCTTTTCTTTATTTCAATAAATTAAGTCCATAGATTCCTATTGAATGTGATTTCAACCCCTCAGTCAATAATCATCATTACATTGATTAGGTGAATTATTAGTTTTATTTTTGTCAAATAGAAATATGAGTAATAAATTCAGAAGAATCTTTAACAAAAACTATTAGAATTTATTTTACATCGTTTGCAGTTAAGTTGACGTGTGACATACCTAACTGGGTAAAAAAAAGAAACATGTCAGTTGCCATGTCATGAAAGGTAGCCATTCATCAATTTTACAGTTCATTCATCATTTTAAATGATGCTTATTAACTAAGAGACAAAAAAGTCAAAGACTAAGAAGACCTAACTCATGGAAATGGAGGAAAATAGATTGTGGAGGAGAAAAATAGAGTGGAGGACAGGAATATAGGCAATACAAAAACAAACAAGTCTGAAACACATTCTTAATAATGTAAGGTAATCACAAGTTCGCTTATCACATACCCCAATTTGTTAGAGATTGGTGAACAGAAAGAAGGCCTTCATTTAAAAGAAAAAAATATTTGCCAATCAAGCTTTAAAAAGTTTTTGCGATGGAGCAGAAGGATACTATAAGTTGTTTCCATTTTGTACCTTAAAACGGGCATGCAACGTCAGCAAAACATCATTCAAAAGCGTTGCTGGCCAAGCTGGGTCAGAAAGCTCAGATGCAATAATGGATTTTAGTTCATCAAATGATTCATGTGGACTTTGCATCCAAATCAATCCCTTGATCACCATTGCCCGAACATAAACACACTCACAAGCCACAGTGTTCTAACTTCTTCCATAAGCAAAGCTAGCATGCCTGCAATTGTATCCTTGCCACCAGCTGCATTGGATACACCAGTGGTTCTTCGGATACCTACAGAAAAACAACAAGGAACATAAGAAATGTAAGACTTCAATAAAAAAATTATCAGGTCACTATTCCACACATTCTGAAAATAGTAAAAACAATGAATCCATCAACCACAAAATGTAACCAGATACAAGGAGATATGTTGCATATACATGCAGAAGAAACAAGAAACAAGGGCACATATGAAACTAGAAAGAGTGTAGAATAGATGTGACAAATGAATGCTTAAGGTTCATTGATAATAGCCGCATTTGAAAACTTAGGCTTCCTGATCAAGAAATCCGCATGGAGACCACTTTTATCAATATCTTTAAAGTTTTTGAGTTGCATGGAACATATTGAAATACCCTGGAAATTGCCAAAATTTCTGGTTTTTAGTTTTAGTTTCCATAACCAAATAAGGTGCGATTTTCTGCCAGTCATTTTTTCCTATTTTCTTCATGTCATTAATTTTCCAGGACAACAGTTGAAAATCTTACAGGAAGAAAGCAGACTAGAAATTCAAAAGAAAGGAATCAAAAGAACAAATATGGCACTGTTGGGAGATCAGTTTATTATTGGCATCAATTATTTAATTATTATTTTAGGAAGGAATCAGATTGAATCAACTCTTAGCGGATATAAGGCTCTCTCTAACACATTCCATAAACTAGTTCCACTTGTTCACCATAGGTCATTCGTGAGAAAGAAGTAGCAATCAGGGAAGAAGCGGTGCTAAGAAGGTTTTCCTACAAATCATCCGGTGACTTGATCCATAATGTGGGACCATAATAAATTGGCTTTAGAGCTAGAGACAATGAACGATCCTGTTACTATTGAAGAGTTTTTTTTATAAGAGTTGGAAGTCTTGTTAAAAACCCCTTTCATAATTACTAAAACTCTTGAGGTATTTGGTAAAAAGCGGAAGGGATAAAATAGTACCTCAAAATTTATTGATAATAGGGAATTAAAGACCCACAGCTTACATACTAAGCAAAAGAGCACCAAACAAAGTTAAACATCAAACTTCTACACAACCAAACCCTACCCTAAAGTTACCCAATCCCTTTTTTGGCTAGTTCATCTGCATTACAATTGACACTTCTGTTAATCACCCTCAATAGAATCTCACCACTATTCACCAAACAAGCAATCTCCTTAACAATAATCTCATAGAATTGAGGGCACATCAATGGATCCTTAATCCACTCAACAATATTCCTGCAATCACACTCCAAGATCAACCTACCCTTGACAGACCAATTCGATACAAAACAAAGTAAGATACCATCTCTAATCGCCTTCAATTAAGCCATCGTTGGAGGGCCAGGATCAGGGATTTAAATAGCATTCGCGGTCATGTTTTCGATCGCGTCGCGTTTATCACGGTTGCGGACATAACGGATGTCATTGCGGGTATCGCGGTCGTGAATGTTTTTAAATGTTGCACAACTTACCCTAAAATGACTAAATTAATATAATTAAAATAAAATTGTAAAATTTAAATTGCAGAAATTTAGATTACTGAAATTAAGATTAAATAAATAAAAATTAAAGTTTACATTTTAAACTAGGGATTAAATTATAAATTCTAAAAGCGGGAGAGATGTCAAATTAATATATCCTTTAAAATTATATTTTAAAAAATAAAAAAATAAACCAACTCCCCTCCCCTCCCCTTCCCCAACCTTTCATCTTTCAACTCTCCCTTCCCCCTTCCTCCTCCCCGATTTCATTGTCTGAAACAAAAAAAATAATTCACTTTGACTCTAGCTGCACACCTACCATGTCATCGACTAAAGTGTTTGGTAGGGGAGAAGATGGCAGTATCAAATGTGGAAATAGTAGCAGTAGATGCCATTCTCCAAAAAAGAGGTTAGAATTTCATTTTTTTCAATAATTACTAATGTTTACTTTCAAATAGAAGGTGTTTGATATAGTCCTTCTTTTACCTTTCTTCTCCTCAATTGGTTATGCTCCATTCCTCATCAGGAAACATAGAGTGAAGAGATCGATCAAGGAGCCATCAATCAGTAACAAGCTTGCCGATATTCCTCCCGATGATTATTCTTGGAGAAAATACAGGCAGAAGCCAGTCAAGGGTTCTCCTCGCCCTAGGTAATGATCACCAATGCAGTTGAAATCACGGTTGGAATAGCGCTTATAGCGTCCCGTGATCGGCGCAATTCACCGTTACCCGTTAAATTACGGGCGCGACATACTGCTATTTGTGTGAATCCGTTACCCATCGCAAAAATCATGAAAATCAGTTTCGGACGGTGGTGCTACCGCAATATCACGTGAAACAACCTAATTATTAAGGCCACATGTATATTGGCTGGTAGTGATAATTATTTAGGTGTGTTAGGCCAAATGTCATTTTCGGACACCTAAGGCCATAGCAATTATTATGGTTGAATTTAGCAGCTTATCAATCAAGCCCATAACCGGGTTTTGTTCTTTAAATTCTATTTTCTACAGCAAACGCACTTCATAGGAAACTCATATCTGCACCGGTCCTATGTTCCACATATATGGATTCGGAGCTTTTGCCATCGGAAAGCTCACAAACGGAACCAAGGTCGTGATTTTATTAAAGTTTGACATGAAAGAAATACTGTCGACGGTTAAGAAGTACCATGCCACTTGTCTTCCACTTGTGCCACCTATACTCTTGGCGTTGGTGAAGGATACTGAAGAGATAAGAAAGAGGTACGATAGCGTAGGGTTGTTGCTGTCGCAACTCTATTTCAGTTTCGTTGCCTCTTTCGGTCGTTTGAGGTCACGACCGGCCTGGAAGTGAGGTCGCCAGATCTGTGTGGCTACTGCCCCCAATTTTGACATCGACAACTCCAAATTCTTGAACTGGAAGATTATATTATGGCTCTGGTTAAGAATCACAAGGGAGTATGTTAGTGGAGGGCGGTGGGTGTCGACGGGAATGAAGGGGATGAGAAAATTAGAGGAATGATGTATAAGGTCCATGGCTAACCTGCGTAGAAGATGAGAGGTGAGAGATGTTTGAATTTGTGTAGCATAATTCGTAGATCAAAATCAATGGAGATTTTGAAAACAAATAAATTAATAAATAATTGTAAATTGGTTCAGAGTGCACATGGTTTTGGAAAGTGAAAAGGGAGCAATGAAAGAATTCACGTGGGTTGTGGAGAATTGTTGACAACATGCAAAAAGTGGTAAATCATAAGGTATGTCATCCAAGTTTGGTGAGATCTTTACCTTGTCTCTTAGTTTCCAAGTGGTTATAATTATGACATAATAGTTGTTACAAGATCAATTTAGTCCATGATGTTAGTAATTAAATATTATTGGCTTCTCAAGTTTTTAGTTACGCTAATTGGGTTTCCAAATTATTAATTAGATTCTAATAAGTTATTTTTTATGGCAAAGAAAATTATTGGAAGTCGTATTTGTACGATAAATTATCCGTGTTCGTTACAAAAAGATTGGAAACTAGAAATCAAGTTGGTGAGCTGGAATTTAAGACTAATATTTTGGGTTTTGTTGATGTTTTGATTTTGAGGTCCATTTCGCTAAATTCAAATCCGGTAAGCTATTTGTCACTGATTAATCACCCGATTCGATCCGTTTTTCAGAATTAAGCTCTGTTTTTTATAAAATATCTGTTAATATGTATATGAGGAATTATTGGAAGTTGAATTAAAGATCGAGGGCGTTCGAATGGAATTTATATTGTCGATCAATATGGCACGAAAATCGAGATAATACTTTGCTACCTCTTTATGCTTTACGGAACATGTGAATATTGGTAAATGCATGATTAAGATAATGTTGGTCTCATTTGTGTAGTTAATTAGTTTCTACACTCGATCTGAATACGGTAAAAGGGTTCAGTAATTGATTATGGTTCAGATGATTTTTATAAGAAATTGAGGGATTGTTAGAATTAAATTACAAGTTCTGTGCCTAGTGATAAAGAAATCAACATGGATTTGTAACTTATAGTTTATTTCATCAAAGGTTAAATGTTAAAGGTACTTGGATGGGAAATTATGATAATACTCTGGTAGGGTAAAATTACAAAAATACCCTTAAGTTGTAAGATGTCAAGAATTGTCCCTGGAAGTTGATTAATAACTCTGAAAGGATATATTGATATGATAAAACTACAGATGTGCTTAAGAAATGCTAGATTTTGCTTACGAAATACGAATAACCGGTTTTTAACCCCTAGAGGGTTTGTGCAAGATATTAGAATTCTATTAAGGAATTATTTCAAGATAAGAGAATGTTCGGTAAAGTAATTGATCATAGGATCTCTAAATTATAATTATTTTTGTTAAGAGCTAATATTGAAATTATCTGGTTAAGAAATTACGGAAATGCCCTTGAGAGGTAAAATAGTCCTAGTTAACCCTGAATGAGAAAATACATTGAGGATTTGTACTTAACTTGATTAAGTACGGATTTGATTATTAAGATCCTGACTTAGTTCAGGAAAATTCCTGATTTTACGTTTGTAAAATCTGAGAAGACACTTGACCCAGAAATATCCGAGTTATAAGTAAACACCTGAAGAATAATTTGTCGGGGTGTTCTGTTGTCATAATTATTCGAAAGGACTGAAATAAATGATAAGATTGAATTTAATAGTAAGATCGGACGGAAGGAAATGATTGTAATACGCTGAATCTATAAAATGACCAAAATACCCCTGTAATTGAAATAACCCAAGAATACCACTAAGCTCAAGAATGATTGGATATCTTGAGCTCTGAAATAAATGGAATAAAAATGAATACCAAAATACCCTTGTGTCCTATTCTAAGTAAATGCCTTGGATTAATTAAGGAATCCAAATAAGCATAGGTATTGGACTACCTTTAAAAAGTTATGGAACACATCATAAGTAAGCCGACCAACTTTAATGATATGTCAGTACCTGAGCGGCATAGATATTACTTGAATGTGTATTCGTCTACTCAAGTTTAGCTCGATGATAATTTTGGAAGTATTCAGCTCAGCTCAACTCTAGATCACATTCAGTATTTAGAATTGGACGTTTGTTCGACAAATAAACCACGAAGACCAAATTAAAC